AATACTCCAATTTCGAGTTCTGGTTTGCTCTGTGTTAGCCTCAAAACCAAGTAACATATTCTTTTGTTTCATTGATAACTCGAGAAAACGCATGGAATTTGTGAAGAAAGACAATAGAATTGATTTGAAATCTCACACTTTTACGCTCACAATAAGGAATATTTTGCGCACAAATGAGGCTAACACAGAGCATTGGAGAATTCGAAACTGGAGTATTTCAGTATCAGCATCATCAAAAAATGTTACTTCTTCATTCAGATTAAAACCTACCCAAGAACAGTAAGAGGATCTGTTAGACAGAAGGATGAGAAAAGAACAGATGCTCGGAAAAAGCGAGAGGAACGGAAAAAGAAGGTAAGACCTAAATCTTCCCATTCCTTTGCGTTTCTGTCTGTCCGTTCATTTGTCCAGACCTGTCATACCCTTTTTGTGTTTTTATTTAAGGAAAAAGACCAAAAAAGAGAAGAACTTAAACGACTAAAGAACCTCAAGCGAAAAGAAATTGAAGAAAAACTTCAAAARCTCAAAGGTTACTAATTATCTTAACTGTAATATCATTATTTTCTATTCATGAAAGTTTTTCTATAATTCAAATCAAATAATAAACTCATATAATAAATAAACTATATAATGAACTCAAATCTATTATTTAGATATCACGGGGAACCCAAATGTTGGATTTACTGAAGATGACATGGAAGGTGATTTYGATCCAAAAAAATATGACTCAATAATGCAGGTAAGCAAGGACATGCAGCCAAGAAAAGCAGACTTGCATATGTCTACCCACCCCTCCCCCTACAATAGTTTTCTTGCAGGGGGAGGGGTTGGAATGAATGTACATATACCAATGATATCTTGATTTTAAACAGAAAGTATTCAATGAAAGTTACTATGAAGATGGCGGAGATGATGAGAAACCAACTTTTGATGATGATGGATTAGATTTAGATGATGGTTAGTGAGATTTCATTGTTTAGTTGTCAGTAAGCAAAAATGACATGAAATTTTTTTGTAGAAGAGAACTGGGATGAGTGGGAAGGTTGTCATGACTACACTGAGGAAGATCCCAATTCCAATTATGATGGTAATGTAATGTTATAACATCTTAAATGATATTTAATTTTAGTTTATTCTTGTGTTTATCATTGTGTAACACATTTGCCCAAAGGGGTCATTAGTTTCTCATTTTTTATWTCAACACTTTATTTAAATTAATAAGTACTATATGTATTTTACTTGTAGACTCTTACTATGACAATGGAAATTTTAATGTAAGTATTTTGTACAGGAAAAGCTGACTGAATGAGTTAASGTTGATGGATTGAATTTTTCAAAAAATGAACAAACGAATAAATGAAAATGAACGAAAGAATTGTGTCATYGGAWCAATCATCATAATGATGATAGKAATYATTAATGATGATGATGATGATGATAATTATTTTATATTGTAGATGGATGCTGACTATGACCCAAGTATGGACGAACATCAGTCAAAACGAAGCAAACSATCGTCTGCCTTGAGCCGTGCCTTGAATAAGCAAAAACCTTTATTCGATCCAAGTAAGGTTTTCCTCTGGTTTGCTTTATTCCTGTCTTCCCCTGATWAATTTCCCTTSTCTCGTACTTGACTGAGATCCTGAATCMTTCTCTATTTCTATTTACCAAATCGCACAGTTGACCTCSATAGAATTCACGGTCGAAATCTTTGAAACAAATAGTTTTAGGTTGTACTAAATAGTATCGATTAAAAACATACTATTTTTTAGTCTTTATGTTCCAAAAATTAAACGTTTTCACGTGTTTGTTTAGACGAAAAATCATTTGAGGATTATTTTGATGAGTATTACAAGCTGGACTATGAAGATATCATCGTTGACCTTCCWTGYCGATTCAAATACAGAARTGTTTTACCAAATGACTACGGTCTCTCMACAGAAGAGGTGATAAGTTAACTTTATTAATGTCGTTTAGTAAGCAAGCCATGTTTCTTGTCGTTGGTTAATTCTTCATGAGTATCTTTTAAATAGGTCCTCAAGTTTCCAGAAAAAGAACTTAACCAGTGGGTATCTGTCAAGAGAATGTCTCAATACAGGTACGACGYGATTGTCCGATTGTYGATGGAGAAACTAGTGAAAATATACTTCAATAAATTGATTGTTCTCTCAAATACAATCGGCTGGCAAAGCTGAGACAAASGAGTMCACATTWAACTTTYCATTTCCCTTTACGCCACAATTTTGTTCTTMMTGGAATACAATTTGTTTCTCTTATCAGTTTGTCCGTCTTTCCCTATTTTCCTCGACAACATTTGTATATTMAGTTTCTTTAATATGTATGTTATCAGAACCGAGGAAGAGGAAAGAAAAGATTTAAAGAAATATAAGAAACTTTCACGAGATGAGAARCGAAAAAGACGAATATTTATTTCGGAAGATAAACCAACAGATAACGAAACAGAACAGTAAGTGGAAATAAACATATATTTAGCACTTGAATTTTTTATGTGAATCATACATTTATTTTGTCTTGTAGTGCACCAAATGATAACCAACCCACAACGACAAAAGYCACGAAAACCGATCAAGATAMACAAGTAAATACAGAATCCACAACTAGCCGGCARGTAAATGGTAGCAACGAAAGGCTGACACAATCCACACAAGTCAAACATCACAAYAAACAGCAAAAGAAAGCCGCCTTGTCAAGGAGAGGTTGGAGAAAGAGRCCYACTMCTCAAGAAACCAAAGCAATGGCCGACAAGAAACGACTTTCACGAAAATTCAAAGGTGCGAACAAAGGAAAACTCGCTGGACTTTCTACAGAGAGACTTGCAGCATATGGAGTGAAAAGAAAAAGGAAAACGTCGGAATAGAAATGCATTTTATTATATGTGATGGACGGAATGAATGATATCTGAGGGCGTGGCGATTTCTCTTTACGATGGAAAATGGTGCAAAAAATTGCGCGCGTCTAAAATGGCACGAAAGCAGTGCGGGCGGAATGTCAAAGGTTCAAAATCTCAACAAATAGAGACAAGAATAATAAAATAGTATATCGAGACCGGTCTGGAAATAGTTTATTTGATTCTAACAATCACAGATACTTCCAATGCGACCGCAACAGCGATGCRCCTCGTCAAATCCTCGACATAGGCATTTCTTTGTCCTGACATGTTTTACGCAATACCCACGACATCGTCGCTCATCGGATACCTTTTTAGCAATATAAAGCACTTGCTCGGTAAGTAAGTCTAGTTTGCAATTTATATAAGCCAAAATGTCCTCTTGTTCGTCCGTCCGAGACTTAGACCCAGCGTTATTCTTTGGGTTTTCTCGGAGCTGTAGTATTTCGCGGTCGAGTTTTTGGATCATTTGTGCTTGTTTGTGTATGACTTTCCTTAAAGCTTCTATCGTTGTCTCTTCTTCCTCGCTTTGAGTATCCTTGTCATCAGTAGCCTTAACATTAAAACAACTGCGTGAGCCTTGGCCTGGTCATACTATCCGAGTTGAAATGCCAGATATATTTTGCGTATATTTGTTTTTCGAAAGAACGCAAAAACGCCGTGCTACAATACCTTGGATCTATGATGGATCGGCCATTACAAGAAATGGCTAAACGAACAACAACGTCAAAAACATACAATGCACACACCTCTTCAAAGTCTGCATCAAAGTTAGTAACGACGACTTCAGGGGTTCTTAAGCGAGTAGGGTACGTAGCCTTTCCGACCCGTTCTCTACTACGAGGTCGAGGAAGGGCGAGGCTTTTTCCGTGAAAATGCGATCTTCCTGATTTTTTCGACATGGCTGCTGACTGCTGTGTGTGACGTCACGATTATGACGTCATGATTTACAACAGCGCGCGCGCTTCTTGAACGGGTAGTCACATGACATGTTTATCTTAACYGAAGGGATATCTATTGAAATGATGAGTGAGAATATTTGACAATGTATAAAAGAGAGAAAATTATAAATGAAGGATATCGTATAAAAGAACTCGACGTCAAAAAACRTGCATGCAACTTGAAACAGAAAATTCAGACGTTTTTGTTATGCTTTCAAAGTTTTATTCGGTGTTTTCCCCGGAAAAATTCATTTACAATATATTTGCTCTCTTAATTCAGACTTTGACGATGAACACTTTACGTCAAAGTCGTCATCCCAGCAAAATTTGCACATGACGTCATGGAGAAAATATTCCACAGGAAATACAGTAGATCTCATTTGGTGTTTTACGCCTTTTGTATACCTTATAGACATCAGAAAGATAGGACTAATGTAGTTTTACTAATCTTTCTTCATACGAGTATCAACAAGGCATTTGTCAACCACTAGCTGTGTATAAAACACGTTAAATCAATCTCATTCCCAGGCCCTTATCCAAGGGGTAAAGGCCTTGGAAGGGAGAGCYTACGTAGCACTCAGTTGATGTAATATATTYATAAAGATATAATACAAMACACATAATACAATAGAACGAGAAACAATGGAATACAATACATTTTATGAATACATTACATCAACTGCGTGCTACGTAGGTCACCCCGGCCTTGGRACGAGATTGATGAATAAAACTTTGTCTCGACACACTTATGCACTTATTAAAAAGATCATTCGTTATTCTATGTATCCTCTAAATCAAAATAGATGACTAGACTGACTATGGACTGTGTTTTCATCGTTAACATGGGCGTTGTCCCTATTGTCGTTGGTCTTTTTCCTGGTTTTGATCTCTTTCTTTTCTTCTTTAAATCTTTGTTGTCGTTTTCTTTGTCGTTATCATCGGCGTTGTGGCTTTCTTTGTCGTTGGCTTGGTTGTTGTCATTTTCTTTGTCGTTGGCTTGGTTGTTGTCGCTTTCTTTGTCGTTGGCTTGGTTGTTGTCATTTTCTTTGTCGTTGGCTTGGTTGTTGTCGTTTTCTTTGTCGTTGGCTTGGTTGTTGTCGCTTTCTTTGTCGTTGGCTTGGTTGTTGTCATTTTCTTTGTCGTTGGCTTGGTTGTTGTCG